TCGAAACATTTAAATAGTGAGTACATGACATTTGGAGGAATTTTTGTTATATTTGCTGAAGATTTTCGACGAGCATTAATTGTAATTACTGGGGAAACTTGGATAGATATTGTAAATTCTTCTATAAAGATGTCTTATGTTGTGGTCCGCGTTCAAAGTTTGGTAACTCTCTCGACATATGAGATTGAAAAATACAATAAATGAATTTTGGAGATAGATCATGGAGTGGCTGCCCAAGAAAAAGTTAATATTCATTTGAACAATTATTATCGTTGTTTACGCCATTGACGAAACACAACCGGCCAACGGGCCGGGTATCTAACTAGTATATATGTATGTAGGAAAAAAATCTACAAAAATGCACAATTAAAAAAAGGAGGAGGTCTTCTATTGATTAGACTATTGATCGATTATTTTGGTATAACCTTGTTGAATTACTTGCTTGATGATTATCTGGTTAACCTACAAAATAACCTAGACCGATTATACGGTTACGGTTAACCAACTAATATAAACGGTGCAGTTTATGATAAGTACAAAGTGAATCGACTACACAGTTCCAGTTATAACCGAATCGAACCGATTGCCACAGAGAGGTAACTATATTTATGCAATTTAAAAGAGACTTTTTAATTGTATCATAAAAAGTAAAGGTTTTATTTATATAAAATCCTTCCAAGTCCTCACCTCTAATTGAGGTGACTGTTCCCTTATGTGGGCTCATGGTAATTGAAAGCCAACTCTGAGACTATCTGATATTGCAAGCCCATCAACCCATCGTTAATGGATCGATCAAAGAACATTGCGCAGATGAACCAACAACAGAAAAGCCCGCACATGCTTCATAATGGATGCTGTCATAACTTGGGCTTCGCCGCACCTGAAAGCTTCCAACTATTACTCAGGCATTGCAATGGTGGGATAGCTTAACTATTTGGAGTAAGAATATGATATTTATGCAATTTAAACAAACATAATGTGAAATGACCTGTTTATTGAAAGGAAAAAATATTTTGGGCTTGGGAGGAGGAAGTTATAAAAAAAAGGAAAATAAAAAAAGGTTACTGAGTAACCATAGCTGTCTCTGTGAAACGGGGTGTCAAGGCCTATAGCTATCAAACCTCCCCCATTTTGGGCCCAAATTATTTGTAAATGGCTAATCAAGCCAGCCCTAGTGCTGCCGGATAGCATACGCCCATCAACTCCGCCACTGGGCAGATATATACTTCCGAAAAAGGAATTAAATATACAGTTATAGCTTCCTATTTTGTCGATGTGGTACAAGACAAAATTCCTGCAGTAGAATACAGCAAAAAAAAAAAAAAAAAAAAAAAGAAGAAGAAGAAGAAGAAGCTCTCTTTTACCACAAACCTGCAACCGTAAATCCCCAATGACCAAGTCCACACCTGTAAATGATTTGACTGTATCATTATTTGGGCTGGTAGTGAATTGAATGGCAGGCCTAAGACTCTGATATCGTAAGCCCGTCTGTCAATCCATCCTTTATGGATCGGCTAATGAACACAGTGCAGATGAACTCGCAACTATAAAGCCCACAAAGGCTTCTCAATGGAAACTACCATCCTTAACTTCGGATTCACAATAACAACTGAAAGCTAGCACTATCACTCAGGTTGGCATATTGCAAATTGCAATGGTCATTGGTACAGGTGCATAGTAGGTAGGGTGGTTGCTGCTGCTATATCTCCATCATTTTGTACTTTTCATTTTTATGTTTGTGTCGAAATCAAAATTTCTCTTTGAAATCATTGATCCATCCCCTCTCCATACCTTCCCAATCCCTGATCTATCTCACTTTCATCACCTGACCAGTTAATATACAAGTCCGGTTTAACTTGTTAAGAAGCATAATATTAGGTGGTTACCGAACTGGATACCAATTCGATGTCCGGTAAATCACATATGGACGAGACTTACATGTCAGTTTCGGTCGTGACTTTGTGGCTTTATCGTTGAGTGATATTCGAGATAATCATATGTTAGTAACTAGTAAGGGCATCTAGTACACCTTGCAAGAGCCCAATGGTCCCTATTTTCTTTCTTTTCCTTTATCTTCCTTCCTGTAGTAGAGTATATATTGGAGTCACGCTCAACAAATCTAAATTGTAGATCATTCAATATTATCATTATAGCAAATGCAAATCTAGCTTTCTTTTTATCAAATTTACGTGGAGCAAAAGAGCCTACCTCATTATTTTTCAGGTTGGTCTGTTCAATATTGCATTGACCACTAGCTTCTCTCCTCTTCCAATCGAATGTCAAGTGATGAGTTTTCAAACTAGTAGTCCCATTAAGGCTCGAATGAGCTTTGATCAATTGTTCACACTATTTCCATTTGTCATGTGGGTAGCCATCCACCAACACCTTAATAAAAAGAATTCATCACTTAGATGTCTTCTTCCCCTCCCCCCCCCTCCCTATACATTTTTGTTTGGGTCACGATCTCCAGCTTCTCCTCTTCCCACACCAATAATTTGTGTAGCTGCGAGACTCGGGGTTGGATTTTGTTGTGTCTATGTGTTGTTAATTAGTTGAATTTGGTGCAGTTGCAGCTGAAGGTGTTATGTAGCTGAAAATGGAGGAGGAACACCTGTTGAAGGTGTATTACTAGCTGTAACTGCCCCTTGTGAGCCACAACCACGAGTAATGCCTCCTTTTTAGATGACATTCTAGAAAGAAGCGAACTACCTTTCAAATCGTCTCATCCACGACCTTTGTCCTACAACACAAAAGAGAGAGAACACAAAAAGAATTGTAATAGAAATGGTCCCTCTTTTCTTGAAAATGAAAGATGAAGCAAGAAGATGAGAGGAGGAACGAGTAAGCAAATAAGAACATACATAACAAACTACAGGGAGATTTAAATTCAAACAACCAATTCCTCACACACAATCTGAGTATTTTCTTCTTAATCATACATATCCTAAGGCATCAAAATCAAACATATGTTCTTATAACTTCACTCAAAATATCAAAGTTTATGTTAAAAGTTCAAATGTGAGTTTTCGAAACACCAATAAATTAAAGTTTCAAACTTACATTTTTCTGTTTTGCAATTGCTAGAAGTTGCTGTTGTTTCGGTCTGCTCCTTTAGTGATCTGCTATGTTCTATGAGGATTCGACGCTCAGCAGCCAACAATACGAACTGCAGAAGAGATGGAGGATGTTGAGCTTGATGGCATCGGCTGGGTGGAGGGGCGCTGGCCGCTTGGAGATGAGCGAGGGAGGAGAAGTAGGACCGGCGAGAGGGAGAGATCCGCCAACAATTTGCATAGGGGGGTTTTGGTAACTAACTGTCGGTTACTAACCGGATATGAGTGGGTATACCGACTCCTCCTGGTGTTTCGTTACCTCCTACCAATACTGTCGGCTAACAGGTTAACCGGTAACCTACAAACCGATTACCAGTCCTACATGCAATAACTAACATACTCTTAAGTACTATTCCCATTATCGAAGATATTATCCTAAAAGGGTTCCGTTTTGGATCGGCATCGCCGGGCAGAGGACCATTGGACTAGGAAATTTATCGCGTTAACCTCAATACTATTTTGGGATCTCCTACAATAACTTGGGTATAATTTCAAGTTAGGTAACTTGCATAGATCTAAATCGTTAAAATTGACCAAACTTATTCTAAACCATTGATTTAAGAAATAAAAAATAAGTAAAAAATAAATGGCAACATGGGTTCACCACATTCCCAAGTTACCTTTTTTTATTTTTTTCTTTCATTTTTCACATGTAGTTGTCTTTCCATATTTTATCCTTTCCTTTTTTAATTCTTATTGAATTAGAAGCGTCACGTAAGGCTTCCATAATAATTTAGCTCTTTACGTAACACGACTTTAATACTCATTATGTAATGAGACCTTCTATTACTGAATGATAGTTATTTCTTACATAACAGTTAAATTGGAAGCGTTACGTAAGGCTTCCGTAATTACTTAGCACTTTACGTAATGCAAGGTTAATACTCATTACGTAAAAAGACCTTCCATTACGTAAAGGTTACGAAACGACAGTTATTTCTTATGTAATAGTTAAATCAGTAGCGTTACGTAAGGCTTCCGTAAGGACTTAGCAATTTACATAACGCGAGGTTAATACTCATTACGTATAGACACATTCTATTACGTAAAGACACATTATATTACGTAAGGCTTCTGTAATGATCTTTTACAACTGTTACATAAGATTATCATATGTTACATAACCATTACGTAATGCCTATTGTATTTTACGTAATACGACCTGTGAAACGTGCTATAACAGATAAAAAATTCAAGTTACCTACTTCAAGTTACCGTAGGAAATCCCTACTATTTTGTCTTGGTTGATTGTTTTCTTCTTTTGGTAAGGTGGTTGTCGCATTGTTTTCTTATCTAGTTTGTCAATGCATATGTATTGTCCAGGTCTTACTCGTACGAACCGGGTAGATTTGAACATCCACATTTTAAACCATCATTTTCAATTTCCACTTTAGGCCACAATTCTGAGATTAAACGAAGAATATTATACAATTTTCAGAAAAAAATCAACTATCTTTGTCAGCTGTCACGTGTACTGTGTACAAGCTTCTTATCCCTCTGCTGGTTAAGTCACCCACTCACTCACCAATTCCCCATTCCTGCCGCCAAGGGCATTGGCCGGCCCGGTCCAGAGAAGAAGAAGGCTGGACCAGTGGGAAAACGAACGTACAGACACGGTCGACGCTGGCTAGCTAGGGTTTGCGCCACAGTAAAATGTACTGGAGGCAGTGTCCATTAAACCGTACCGTACCGGCGGTTCAACCACGAAATATCAGTATCGGAGGCTAAACCGATATGCGGCATTTACCGGTATAATGGTTGAACTACGGTTAAACCACGATTTTACCATAAAATACCCCACTGTTGACTTTCCCGATACGGTCTCCGGTACGGTTTCATGGACCATGACTGTACTGTGAATTATTTGGGGAAAGTACTAATCACGGATTCACGAATCATCTTTTATTTAATAATAATAGTTTTATTCATTTTTTAACAACAACAACAACAACAGTACACAGTACAACAAATCATCCGTCGTCTTTTACTAAACAACAAAGAAAGGAAAAATGAAAAACACAACACTGATTACTAAATGACCAATCAGATCAGAAGGCCACCTGCTCATCATCATGATGCATGTCTTATACGCTGCATGTATTCATCACGATCATGCTCAGTGTAGTGACCGTCGGTCTATCGGATCCTTCTTATTCTTCATCATTCTACGTTCCCTCGTCGTCGAGACCGGATGTTACACAGTAGCTGCTGAGAGGCGAAGTGCCTTGCGTCCGCCGGCGGCAGCGGTAATCATCCGGAGGTTGTTATCGGTAGGGCCCTTGGGCTGGGATCGGCTGCAGAAGCTGGTGTACCAGCAAGCGGAGTGCTTAGGGTGCCTGGAGATATCCGTGTAGTTGATGTAGTAGAGCCCGAATCGGACCGAGTACCCGTCGTTCCATTCGTAGTTGTCGGCGTACGACCAGGCGAAGAACCCTTTCACCTGCACCTCCTTCTCCCTCATTGCCTGGCGAATACTCGCGAGATGGGCGTTGTAGAACGTGACTCGCATAGTGTCAGTTCTGGCCTCTGCGAGTGTCTGTTTAGGGTCGTCCTGTGTCCCCATTCCTAATAGTTTTTTTTTTTAATAAAATTAATTAGTTGGTCAATATAGTATTATTATTTTTTACTAGTTTCTTAATTAATTAACGAGTATGGAATCCATATTTTAGCTAAGCTAGTTACCGTTCTCGGTTATGTAAATGACATGATCTCCATATGTTTCTTTGGTGTACTCCAAAAGCAATCGAAGTCCGTCAGGATACAGAAACTGCCAGTCGGAACCCATCTGCGAAATTAAACCAAATAAATTTAACAAAAATTTGTTTTATATAATAGTCTGACAAATCTTATCATGTTCTATAGACGTACCTGGTCACCAATAAGGACTCCATCTTTCTCAGCTGTTGAAACAATTAGTAAAATCATTGCTTCAGAATAAGTACTTAACACAATAATCAATTAGTGCATATTTTGATGCAGGAAAGAAAGGGGTACACGTACGGGTAGTAAGGGCTTGGGAATCACGAGTGTAACGAAGATGCACCGGATCGAACTCGGTGTTGTTCTTGGCGTAGTAAGTGGTGTAGTAGTTGAGGCCAAGATAATCGTACGAGTTCTTGAGCATGTGCGACTCTTCTTCTGTGAAGGTCGGTAGCCGAGATCCGACCAGATCCACCATGTTTCTCGGGTAGTGACCGAAGGTAATGGGATCCATGTACCAGCCATACATGAAGTCCAGAGCTCTCTGGGCAGCATCGACGTCAGCTGTTTGACCAGAGTAAGGAAGGAAATAGAACGTGACTATGGTGATCCCTACCACCCCTTGTTGCTTCGCCTGCATGTGTTTTTTTGCAGGTAATCACAGTCATAAAAAGGAAGAAAAATAAACGTTTATAATTAAGGAATATATCAAGGTAAAGCTAGCTAGTAGACTATACCGACCTTGTACTTGTTCTCATACAAACGGTAACCAGCGGCGTGAGCCAGAAGGAGGTTGTGGGTGACGATGTAAGGTTCGGTTGCGGAGTCTCCGGCTACACAGGCTCGGTTAGCCCATACGGAGCAGCGTCCCGGTGCGTGCAGCCCTTCGTCGTAGCCTCTCATCACATAGGTCACTGGCTCGTTCAAGGTGATCCACTTCTTTATTCTGTGGCCGTACTCCTGGAACAAGAAGTCACAGTAATCCTCGAAATCCTTCCTGCATAACCACGGTTGGAACATTTCAATTAAAGATCCATATGAAAAAAAAAATGCATTAAATATACATTTTGTTGGGTATTACTTACACAATGTTTCGGCTTAAGAATCCACCATACTCAGCTTCCAGGGCTTGAGGGGTATCCCAATGCCATATGGTCACATAAGGCTCCAGTCCTACAAATTAGACGAGACATTATTGCTTCAGTTGTCTGACTCATGAGCCACAAAAAGTACTTAAGGCCACATTTGAATTAATTATTCTACGTACCATGTTTCTCGAGCAGATCGAGGAGGTCGTGGTAAAACTTGATTCCTTGCTCATTGACTCCGGTCTGGATCTTGCCATCTGCATGCAACGACTCATATTATAAGTCAACTATATAAAACTCCAAAAATGGGGAAAAGTCAAACAGAAGCGATAATATTGCTCACATGGTATGATTCTAGTCCAGGAGATGGAGAATCGGTAGGCATCCAAATTCATATACTTCATCCTTATGATATCCTCCTGAATATACACATTGAAGGAAATTCACAATTAATCAACAAATAATTGTTGTCAGGCAAGTCAAACCCAACATATAAATACACATGAGAAACATGTATATACCTCCAAGCGGTGATAATGGTCCAGCGCCACATCTCCATTGCTCCCATCGGCTATCCTCTCTGCAGTCATCAACATATCACATATACCACCAAAACCCTAACCTGCAGAAATGGAGGTAATTAAAGCCATTTATAAGTTACAACAGACCTGGAAACTCATGGGCGAATCTGTCCCAAACACTCGGGCCTCTGCAAGACTGATTAGCAGCACCCTCGATCTTCACCCCACAGCATCAAAACAAACAACAACAATGACAAAAGAAAGGGTTAATAAAGGAAACAATATAATTAACTATATACGAAACCAGAAATGAGATAAATAAAACAAAAAACACGAGATAAATATTTGTGATAAGGCCTCCTCTTTCACGAATTATGTTATGGTCATAAGCTTCTCAGCTTGATCACGGTAACCAAATCAGTCCATAGTCCTTATATAGATACAGTCCAATGGTGCAGTTCGATCGATCTGGGGTTATTATAGGTATACAAAAGTCATGTCCTTGTTGTCGGTGTGTGATATAAGATCCATTATGAAACAATTCTTAACAATTTGAATTTTTGGGATCAACTGGTTCTTGACATAGTATTAGAGTGATTGATGCACTGTTGGCGTGATAATGTGCTTAATGAGCGTTGGTGTTACAGAACGTTGATGTAGGTTAAGAATATATAGCAACGAGAGCGATAGATACGGTAAGTAACTGAGATAATACATAATTCTACCTGGTAAGCAGCTGTGGCTGAGGCAAAGACGAAGCCGTCAGGGAAACTCCAACGACCATAGGGCAGCTCCTCCGATGGCCGGTACTGGTAGTCGTTTAGATCTAAGCAAGGGTCGTAAGGAACGATAGGACCGACGGACTGTGCCATCCCTAAGCCAATGCTGTGAGCCAGCAGGCTCGAGAGAAACAGCAGAAGAAGTTTGGAAGCCATGGGGGAGTGGAAAAGGGGTAGGGATTGTTGCCTCACTAGCTAGGGCAATTGGTGGTTTGGGGTGGTGCATTTTGTGAGAAGCTGAAGAGTCCTTTTTATAGAGAGGTTGGGGATGAGATTGCGCATACAGCATTCACACGTACCGCTGAAACTAGCTAGCTTGTTTTACATGCTCTTATTATCCGTTTGGATATTTGGTATACCATTTATTTAGGGAGCACTTCTACTATGCTATATAGCATTGGTGTTTTAATGTACAACTCAAAGTTGTACCATAACATTAAATGTATAAGTTTAGGTTGTACCATTTGTTGATGAAAGCAGAAACAGATAATGACAGATACGGAAATGGAAAACGATCACAGACACCGGTATTTACGTGGTATTCCTGGAGATCCAGGACTAATCCACGGAAGAGCTTTGAACGCTCTTCAGACTACTGATTTACTGAGAATTGTGTCAAGCAGATGATACAGGCGGCACTCCTCTCTTCCTTCCTATATATCACGTCGGCCTAGGTTAGAATCATCATTAACAACTAACCTAGTATGCATGGGCTAGCATGGACGTGGATTACGTATGGGCTCATTAATGATGGGCCTGTTACATTAATCACCCAACTCCTACAGCTCAACTAAATCAGTAGCCTAATACGCACAACACTCAACATCCTCCCCCAAATTGATGCCGATCTCGAAGCATCAATTTGTTCCCTAAGTACCAATGCCTGCTCGTGGAGAAGGCCTTCATGAAAAGATCAGCAACCTGCTCCTCAGTTTGGAGATGAGTCAATGTAATGGTGCCATCACGAACAAGATCACGGATATAATGCACATGTATCTCAATGTGCTTCGTTCGATCATGGAGGACTGGATTCTCGGCAATCCGGATAGCACTGGTGTTATCAACGTACAACTCCATTGGCACAGAACAAGTGACCCCAAAATCAGACAGGAGTCGGCGGAGCCAAACCATCTCAGATCCCACCTCAGACATAGCTCGATATTCAGCTTCAGTAGAGGATTTAGAAACCTTATCCTGCTTTTTACACCTCCAAGAAATATAAGCTCCACCAAACTGAACACACCAGCCTGACGTTGATCGGCGTGTATCAATACATCCAGCAAAGTCAGAATCAGAGTACGCCGAAAGCTGAGGTGCGCCTGAAGAAGGAAATAAGATGCCAACCTCTTGTGTTCCTCGTAGGTAGCGCAGTATCCTGTGTACTGCAGCAAGATGATCAAGACACGGTTCACTCATAAATTGACTGACGGCCTGTACAGCATAAGATATATCAGGTCGGGTAGCCGAAAGATAGATGAGACTGTCGACGATACTGCGGTACTGAGACCCATCCTTCAGGCGTTCACCAGAATCTTTTTGCAGCTTCAGATTCACTTCCATAGGTGTCTTCACAGGCTTGCAGTCAGAAAAGTTATGATCACTAAGCAGATCCGAAATATACTTGCGTTGGCTAAGCAAAATACCTTGATCATTACGACTGACTTCAAGGCCAAGAAAGTAAGATAAATTGCCAAGATCCTTGATGCTGAATGCTTGTTTCAAATCATCCTTAAGCTGTGATATCCCTTGGGAGTCAGTACCTGTGACAACCATATCATCCACATAAAGCAGTAGCACAACAATTCCTGCTGTAGTGACCCTGGTAAAGAGAGAAGGATCATTGAGGCTTTGAGTGAAACCCAGCTGGACTATGGTGGACTGAAATTTTTCAAACCATGCCCTCGGTGCCTGTTTGAGTCCATATAGAGATCTGTGTAAAAGACAAACTTGATCAGCTCGGCCAACAGTATAACCTGGTGGACGTTCCATGTAGATCACTTCCTCCAAATCGCCATGCAGAAATGCATTCTTCACATCCAGTTGATAAAGAGGCCAATTATAGATAGCAGCAACATCAAGTAGTGTACGGACTGTAGACATCTTTGCAACAGGTGCAAATGTCTCGTTATAATCCACCCCATGTTCCTGTGTATATCCCAGTGCAACCAGTCTCGCTCTGTGGCATTCGATCGACCCATCTGGTCGAACCTTGATAGCATAAACCAACGGCTTCCAATAGTCTGAGGACACGGATTAGGACGATCAACAACTGACCAAGTCCGATTTGCCTCTAAAGCACCAAATTCTTCATTCATTGCACGATCCCAAATGGGATTTCCATGAGCCTGCTTGAATGTAGTGGGGACAACAAGAGTGTCTACTCCATGGGCAACATAATCCTCAAAATGAGGTGGTGGAACTCCCTTATTTAGGCGCTGTGAATACCTTGGCGGTGAAGTCGAGCCTGCAGGTGAAGAGACGGGGCTGCTGTGATGCGAAGAAGAAGTGCTGCTGGCTGGTGAAGATGCGGGGCTGCTGTTGGTCGAGGAAGAAGAGCCGCTGGCCTGTGAGGAGGACAGATTTTGAGGGGAAGGAGGAGCAGCTGGATCATCGGTCATAGGAGCAGTATCATCATCATCATCAAAAATGGGCAAGGAATTATGACCGCCAGGAAACTCGACATCAGACAGAGATTTTGTGGGATAGAACCAAGTGTTTTCAAAGAAGACAACTGAAGTAGCTATTCTCATTCTTTGCCCTGAAGGATCAAAACACAAATATCCTTTGTGAATGCTACTATACCCAAGGAAGACACACCGGACAGTTTTAGAAGACAATTTTGTACGCTCACGTTTGGGCAGGAGAACAAAGCAGAGACAGCCAAATACTCTAAGACGAGAATAATCAGGATGACGGCCATATAGAGCATAAAAAGGACTCTTTTGATGGAGAACAGGAGTGACCTGGTAATTAATTAGTCGCACTGCAGTAACTACTGCTTCAGGCCAAAACCGACTAGGAACAGAAGAAGCTAGGAGAAGTGCTCGAGTGAGCTCCATAACATGCCTATTTTTCCTTTCAACTAGACCGTTCTGTTGAGAAACCCCAGGACAAGACATTTGGCTGAGAATACCACGGGAACGATAGACATCATGCAAGGGAATGGAACTAAACTCACCACCAGGATCTGACCGAATAATTTTAACAGTTTGGCCAAACTGCGTCTGAATCATATTAAGAAATTCAATAGCCACAGAACGTAATTCAGATTTCAGCCTAAGAAAGTATATCCAGGTGTATCGAGTAGCATGATCAATGAATAGAGCAAAATAACGAAACCCAAGACGAGATAGAGTAGGAGAAGGTCCCCAAAGATCGGTGTGAATAACATGGAATGGTTCAGTGATAACCGTAGTGCTAGAAGGAAAAGATGTGCTAGTGGTTTTAGCTTCAACACAACTGGGACATGAATGTTTAACTGAAAGATCCACAGAATTTTGGCCAAGAAGAGATTGTTTAAACATTTCAGATAACCGAGCAGAGTGAGGATGCCCCAAACGAGCATGCCACATAACCCACTCCTTATTCGAAAGACTAGAAAACACAGGATCGACAATCGTCTGAGTTTGAGAAAGCAAAAAGGGACTACTGACAGGCCTAGACACACTTGAATTATTGAATGACCCACTCGAAACAACCATTGATGATGAATTTGAGTTTGAACAATCCTGCAGCTCCTCTAAATGAAAAATCCTCCCCCTGCTTACTCCCCCTTCCGATCTGCCTCCCCGTCTTCATGTCCTGTATAACACAACCAGTGGGGGAAAACATAACAGAATAACCAAGCTCAGTAAGCTGTCCGACTGAAACAAGATTAGGAACCAAGGCTGGAACATGCAAAGTTCGTGGCAGAGTAATATAAGAAGTATTAACTTCACCAACACCTTTTACTTCCATTCTATGTCCATTAGCTACTGTTAAACCACCATGTGATACTGGCCGAACATTGCATAGAGCTTGGCTATCATTTGTCATATGATTGAAACAACCGGAATCAAGTATCCAAGGTTTTCTTTTTACTTTACCTTGAAGTGCAGAAAGAGCATTACCAAAAGCTGTAGGCAAGGAGTTTTGCAAAGCCGTGACCGCCTGAACAAGCTGATCGAGTTGGGTGGCAGAGACATTGCCTGCAGTAGAGCCACGTTCAGCTGCTGCCCCACTAGACTCCCCATACTCCACTGCATAAGAGGGCCGATTGTAGCGGCCCTGTGAACCACGGCCCGCTCCATTGTACGATCCGCCACGCCCAGCTCCAGCCATTGGTGCATTGCCATTGAATCTCTCCGCATTCCTTTCCCGCGTACGACACTCTAAAATTATGTGTCCCATACGTTTACAGTAAACACAGTAGTTCCTTCGACGACAGTGCTTCACCAAATGCCCTTTCTCATGACAATGATGACATTGAAGCTCAGAATTTGGTACCCGACTATTGAATTGAGGTCGAGAGACAGCCATGACTTGAGAAATCGGGCCTGATCTTCCAAAAGATTCAGATGCGGCAGATGCGGCAGCAAAGGTCTCTCCTTCACCTGGGCGTGAATCGAATTGAGCCTGGGTCCTCAACCGAGTTTCTTCTCGGACGAGGCTACTGATTACGCCATCAAAGTTCAGCTGATCACGGTTTAAAATGGTGGAACGGACTAGTTCGAATTCAGGCCTTAACCTCATGAGAAACTGCAAGATTCTGGTTTGCTGCCTTTCCGCAATCGTGTCCTCGGTCAAAGCTGCTTGGGGATGCAAGGCCAAGCGCAACAGATCCTGCTCAGTCCATAACTCTTGAGCTGCATTGAAATATTCCGTGACAGACCGATCTCCTTGTTCCAATCTAGCGAGTGCAGTCTGGACTTCAAAGTGGCGAGCTGCATTAACAGTCGAGTAAAGGCCTGCCAAATGCCTCCACATCCTGTTTGCAGTGTTGAACATGCGCAGACTAAGGCAGGTCGAGGGATCAACAGAACCCAGCAACCATGATCTGATCCGGGCATCATTTTGATTCCAGGAAGTCCTCTCTTGAGCTGAAGCAGTCGCCGCAGGTCGTGGATTTGTGCCATCCAAGATTTCCAACAACCCTCTTCCCTCTACAAAGACTCGAAACTGAAATTCCCATAGTGCGTAGTTCGTTGATGTGAGGTGCACAGAAGGCCTCTCCGATTCAGCCGCGGT